CTACACAATGAACTTTTGGCAGAACAGATGTGCCTATAAAATGGAATTAGTACCTACACTGATCTGATTACAGTTGTAAATATCTTTATTTGTATTTTTGCAGGTGTAGGGTACTATCCTCCAAGTCACCCTTAGAAAACATGCACAGAGAAGATACTGCTCCAGCAACATAAAATCCAAGAGGTTACAGAGAAAAAGAATACTTACACAGAGCCAAAGCTTTTTAAAATCTTTACTACTTGGTTTCAGCTTATTTGTAACAACAAAGAGCACATCTACATATCACTGGTTACAGGTTTAGCTCTTTTACTGTCCAAAAAATTTCAATGTCTCAATTAATTTGTTTTTATGATTCTCCTCATTGTTCTCCAGCACTTTCGTCCCTTCTATTTCTTCTCTTTGCTTGCTAGTACAGCAGAGAATGATGACATCTGTTTTAAATCGAAATAGTACAGAAGTTGCTAGCTAAATATTCATGAAAGTGAAGAACTAATACCACTGATTTACAACAGACACAGCACAGATCAGCTGTCAGGAATATTCCACACTTCTCACTCTGCCAACGCACCTCGATTCTGAAATTCTAGTTTCACCCTGTTCTTAAACAGAGGATTTTGCTAGACCACAGGGTTTGATGGTTTGGTAACACATTCATTCTGGGATAAGCTTACATCATGGTTCTAACTTTAACAGTCAAGATTAAGATAAGATATAATACATTAAAGACACTAATTCACTGTGTCAGTTAGACTATGAATTTAACCCTATTTTCAAAACTGTAGAGAACAGCTCAAGCAATTTTATTGGGAGAATAATTAATATGGACCTGTCAAGGTATTATTACCTGTATTACATCTAGCAATACCCACTATATAGTAAAAGACAAAAAATATTTATGCTATAAGAAATCACTGTCCAAGGGGGGGAAAAACCCAAACAACAAAACATCAAAACCGAAAAACCTACATAGACAAACTTCATGTATTTTCTGAGAAAGATTACAGTCATCCCTTCTAACTGCAGAAAGGACTGTACAAGAAAGGGCTACTTGGGGACAGGCAAAAAGTCTTTTCCTTCTGTAGCAACAGTATCATCAGCCTTATGCTATCCACTGCTCACAGCAGTTGCAAGCAACACTCGCAGGGATGATTTCTCAGAGGGAGAGGAGTGAAGAGGACCATGGCTCTCCACAAGCTCCACATGCCCTGGATCCTGGGATGAGGGAGATGCTGCTCTGTTGAGCAACATCCCTTTGCCTTCCCTGCACTATCATGACTGCACACATCCTGGTGTCCACAGACACTGGAGCGCTCTGCAGGTTCAGGCACACTGCATCAAGGAAAGTCAGCACTGGCAAGGTTACCTCAATACCCACACAGATCACAAACTTCTTCTGGTCTTTTGTTTTTCTAAATAAAAGCTGAGAAGGTGAAGAATCCCATGGTTCTGGCCAAGCTCTCAAAGATAGTTTCCTAAATTGCCATGGGCTAAATAATATGCCAAGACCTAGATGTCAGTATTGATACTCTCTTTTCTAGGTTTGCTCTCTGAATGCATTTCTTAATGATACATTCAGAAAGCATTCAGTTTTTATATGGCAGATCATGTTTAGCCACAGTGAAACAGATTTGCTGCTCAAAAAGAAAGGGGGGGCTGAGGGAATCCAAGTATCTTGTATCTGTGATTTGTAAAATTCTGCATGAAAGTAAAGTACAAGTCTGAGCTCTGCCACAAAACCAGAAAGGCCCAAAGCAAGGATCCACAATGCACCCCCTTACATAATGTCATAACTTTATATGCCAGGTCTACAGAACATCTGTGTAGCTTTTCCTGGCAGACACTGATATTTGCACGAAACATTTCTGATGTTGATGCAAACTTAGAAAAACTCTATATGCAACTTTGAATTTTCATCTATGGTGCCAGTGAAATGCAAAATCAAAAAAATAAACCATTCTGTAATCACAAGGTAGTCAAAACAATCTACAAAATACAATAAATTGCTAGCTAGTGATTACATCATTACATGCAAGAAAATTTGCAGCATATTAAAAGGATCACTATCAGATACTGCTGTATTTTCTGTATAAGAAAGCAATAGCAGTCACTGAAGCTGAAAGGAAAAAAACCTCAAAGCCATAGCATTTCTGAGATAGGGCATTTCTCTTTGATAATCACAGTT